GGACACAGGCGAGCGGGCAGTGCCTGTCCGGCGCATCCTGCCTCATCCCAAGGTTGGTGGAGGTGGGCACCCCCCAACCTCCTGCCACATGCTTTAGGAGTCCCACAGACATTCCCTCGTTTCCTTCCAGTTTAACCCCAAGACGTTTCATGGGGACCTGGCACTGCTGGAGCTGGCAGTGCCCCTGTCCCCCTCGCCCACTGTCAGCCCCGTGTGCCTGCCCAGCAGCCCTGTGGAGCCCAGCCCCGGCACTGCCTGTTACATTGCAGGCTGGGGTTCCCTCTATGAAGGTAGGTGCTACACCGACACCAATGGGGTCCGTAGGGCGTCCCCCTCGATGCCCTCTCTGGTGTCAAGTGTCAGTGCACAGAGCCAGGGCAGGGGGGTGCAAAAGAGAGGGGGGTGTCCAGGCACAGAGGAACCCCATAACAAGTGCCTTGCCCAGCAGAGGGGCCAGCAGCTGATGTGGTGATGGAGGCGCGGGTGCCCCTGCTCAGCCAGGAGACATGCCGGGGTGCCCTGGGCAGGGACATGCTCACCAATGCCATGTTCTGTGCTGGGTACTTGTCTGGGGGTATCGACTCCTGCCAGGTAATGCCTGGGGCTGGGCTGATGCCAACCTCTCAACTCAAAGATCCCTTGTGGCACTCAACGCTGGGCGTGTGCTGCAGCCTGGCACAGTCCGGCAGCATGGCTGGGGTCCTGACCCAGACCGATGCATGGGCATCTCCCCCACAGGGAGACTCAGGGGGCCCGCTGGCGTGCCAGGACCCCTCCTCGCAACGCTTCGTCCTCTACGGCATCACCTCGTGGGGCGATGGCTGCGGTGAGCAGGGCAAACCAGGTGTCTACACCCGCGTCGCCACCTTCATAGACTGGCTCAGCCTCCAGATGGACCGTGAGTGCACCCAGCTATGCTGGGAGGGACAGAGATGCCCAGGGTGCTGTGGGGGTACATTGCTCCAGGGCATGGGCATTCAGCACCTCATGGCAGTTCCACTGCCCTTGCAGCTGCCCCTGGCAGCCGGGAACCAAGCTGCTTTGACCTGCTGACGGTGGCTCAGCTGCCCCCAGAGCAGCAGCCACCCGAGCGTGCCCGACTTTGCTCCTTTTATGCTGGATCCTGCCGGCCCCCCCAGGGCCGGGCTGCCTGCGCCCGCCTGGCCGAGGAGACCTGCCGTGCCAGGACCAGAGGATGCGGTGAGCCAGGGGGTTGTGCTGGGGTGAGCGTGTGGGGAGCGACACTGTTTCTGGCAGTGTGGGGCTGGCTTGGTGCCAGGGCCATTGCTTTCCCACTGTGCCCTCAGAGCTGCATTCCTACGCCCAGACCTTGGTGGATCTCCTGCGCCAGGCTGGGGAATTCATCCGAAATCAGTTGGATTTCTCCTTCCTCACCCGTACCCTGCCCCAGCTCCTGGGCAAGATCTATGGGCACCTCTTCCCTCCCCGTGTCCGCAGGGATGCTCCAGGTACCTTCCCAGGCTGGGGCACCCTGTGGCCACTTGAGGTCCCACAAGTCTCCCCTGTGCTGTTGGCCAGGGCACCAGCTGCCTGGCTTGGCACACCCCATGTGGCTTTCCTACCCCTTGTCTCTCCTGTCCCCTTCTTATCCCCACAGGCTTGACTGTGGCAGAGGACCAGCCCAGCTCCATAGCACAGGGATCCCAGAAACCCCCCACCAGGTGAGGCATGGTGGGCCATGGGGGCTAAAGGGTTTTGGGGTAAGATGCCTATGGGCACTGATGTCAATTTTTGGGGACATCATTGGGATCCTGCTCTTCCTGTAACCAGGGCACCCCAGGAGGGAGGTTGGCACAGCTCTTGGGGTCCCCAGGTCCAGCCAGGTCCCATCAGGGGTGGTCAGGGTGGGGTGTGGCACTGTCCACAGTGCTTGACTGAGCTTGCCCCACTGTGCTTGCAGGCGGGAGGCTGGGCAGCCACCCCCCTTCGCAGGGCTCTTCAGGGCCGTGGGGCCCCGGCTGCAGGACTGGGTGGAGGCGCTGGGGGCCATGGCGGGGGGCAGCCCCCCGGCACCCACCCTGGAGGGGGGGCAGCTGCCCGGGGAGACATGGCTCTTCTTGCAGGTATCTGGGGAGAGATGGGCTGGGGGGAGCCCCTGCCCTTCTGGTGACAGTTTCAGCAGGGACCAAAGCCCAGCAGTTCTCCCATGTTCCCTCCTGATATCCCTGGGGCCTGTCATTCCTCTGTGCAGCCACAGAGGTGGCATCTTTCACTCTGCCACCACTGAAGGGCCATTTAACCCTCCCCAACTGAAACCAGTGCTCCTAGTCGAACCACTGTGGAGCCAGCCCTGGGTCTGACCCTGCAGCTTAGGATCTCATCCAACACAGCTACGAAGCAGTCTTGTGTCCCCAGTACCCTGTTTGACACCAGCCCCACCATGCTCTGCCACCCCATACCTGGCTGTGCCCATGGATGTCCCACTGCTCACCCTGTCACCTCTTCCCTTCAGCAGGGTGAGAAAGCAGTGGAAGAGCTGGTAGGACAGGGACGAGCCTTCCTCACCCAGCTGCGGGCAGAGCTGGACCTTGCCACCCCTCTTGAAGCCATGGAGCCACGATGGGCATCCGGAGAGCTGGCAGGGACCCCTGCACCAAGCCGTGAGCCCTGGGAGCCTGGGGGGCTGGGACCAGTGGAGCATCATCATGGCTATTTACCAGCCAGCTCCATGCCCAGGCAGTGCCCACCAGCCGTGTCTCCACCGGGGTTTTCGTGCTCTCTCAGTGGCAGGGTCTGCGCTGAGGGAGAAACGTGAGCTCCTGCCCACAGAGCTGTCAGGGGTGGAGGAGGAAGAGGCAGGCACAGGCAGAGGTAAATGCCCCGCAGCCCCTGGCCACTGTGGGATGCCATATGCCACCAAGGGGATGGTGACAAGCCCAGCCTTGGCTTTGCACCATGATCCCCAAGACTGGTTGTCCCATGTCAGTGGGACAGCCTTTTGCCATACTCCCCACCCAAAGGAACCCTCTGCCCCTGCTTCCCCAGCATCCCCAGAGGTGCTCCCCTCTGGGGTGGGCAGCAGCCTGGTACCCCTGCAACTGGTCCCTGATGTTCTCCCTCCGTCTCTCTCCTGCCCACCTCTGGGGTTGCAGCCTGCCCTGGCCTAAACGAGTCAGCAGTGCGGGTGGATGCGGTGCGGGAGCTGTATGCCTGGGTACTGCGGGTGCCCGAGCCAGACCTGGCCATGACCTTCCAGGAGGTGAGCACCCCATCCAGCTACTCCAAGCCCCCTGCCCCGGCAGCCAGGCAGTGCCACCCCCCAGACCATCACCATCCCGCCATGCCCTTGGCTCCCCTGGGACTCACTGTGTTGTCATCTCCCGACAGATCCTGGTGGACTTGAGCTCTAAGAACAACAAGGGGCTGTACCGGGCACAGGTGCGGGCCATGGTGGGGGGCCGCCCCATCGCCTTCGCTGGCCTGGTGGGGCTGGAGAGCGACTCGCTGGCCCGCAGCATGCCCGGCCTCGTCGCTCTGGCACTGGAGGCGCTGAAAACCTGACTGTAACCCCAGGGCACTGTGCCAGCATGGAGATGGGGCACTGGGGCAGGAGTCTCTCATGTCCTTCAAACGCAGCTGCCTCCCCATCTCAGGCTCTTCCACCATTTTTTCCTCCATTATGCCTCAGTTTACCTCTTCCCATCAGCACTGCCTGACCTCCCCAGGGCAATGGGATGCCAAGGCGCATGTGGAGCATCTCAGCCAGGGATCACAGTCTTCCTCTCCCCTCGGATCCCCATCCTGGCAAGCTGACCCTCACCCCATTTTCCCCAGAGGCATCTAGACTGTTATTTATTTGTACAGAGAAAGGTTTATTTTTCAATAAAGGGCTCTATTTTCCAGTATCTGGGCAGTGTGAAGCAAGCACTGTGCCACAGGGTGCTGGTGAGGTGGGTGCTGGTGGGGGGACTTTTCATGGGTAATATGGCATCTCATTATCATAGAATCATTTTGGTTGGAAAAGACCTTTAAGATCCAGTCCAGCACACTGCCAAGTCCACCACTAAACCACGTCCCATTGCATCTCGCTTCTCATTCCCCTATACCCCAAAGAAATGCCCCCAGCCTCAGTTTCTGACCCTGGAACAGACTACTGAGCCCCTCCCCACTGCCCCATCTAGAGGCTGGGCACCCCTCCTGCCCACTGCAGCACCCATAGCACTGCACCAGTGTCCAACCCTGGTGCTGCCCCATCGAGGACCTACATGAAACCTCCTGCTGGTGCAGGGGTCAAGCATGCCCTGGGTGAGCAGTGAGCACTGGGATACTGCCACCCCCACCCTTGGACATTGGTGGCTACCAAGCCCGGCTGCTTCTGGTGAGCCAACCACCCCCGAGCATCATCCCATGGGCTGCTGAGGAGTGGGGAAGGGACCACTCCTCCCAGTGCCCAGCAATGACCATGCTGGGGTGCCCAGGCACAGGGTGATGGGCTGACACCTGTGGGGCCAGCTGTGCCTGTCCATCTCCCCGTCTCCAGGCACGGGGGTGCCGGAAGAGAGGGGTAGGAGAGCGTATCCGGTGCCTGCCCCCTTCCCCCTCAGCACCTGGCACCATCCATCTTCTGCTCCAGCCAACAGCCGGACATCCGCTTGGCCAGGCCAGGCAGGGAGGTGGCCAAGGCCTGGCAGTGCTCGGGAGCACCACGGGCACTGCATGGGGGACCTGCCGGGGCGGCTCGCCCTGCTCGGGGCGCTGGTGCTGACGGGTGAGCGGGGCCCCGGGGGCTTGGGAAGGGGGTTGCCCCATTGCTGGGGTTTCTGGGCCCCTTTGATGAAGTCACAGCAGGAGGTGATGGTGGCGGGGTCCAAGTTAGGCACAACTGTCCCCAAGGCTGCATTTTGGGTATTGCCTGGCAGAGTCCCACCACCGAGCATCCCCTGCATGTCTGTCTTGGATGTGCCAGCTGGAGCCATGTCACTGCCTGGGCCTTGTGTATGTCTATCTATGCACAGTGCCACAGCATTTGTACTTGAGTGTCTCATGTCTGTGTGTCCCTGTGTGTGCTGAGTCTGTATCTGTGTCCCCCTCTCTGTCCAAGCCCATATCCTTGTCCTTTGCCCGTGTGCTCTTGCACTTTTATCATTTCTTTATGCCCAGTGTCCATGCCTCTGTGCAGCACAGACATGCAGTTTTGTGGCTTCCTCCTGTCCCCTCCACTCTTACACCACCCTGCCTTTACTGAGCATCCCTGCGGGGTGGCACTGGGCCCAGTAACCCCCCAAACCCCCGGTTTGCCTGACCCCACACTCCCAGGTGGGGTCTGTGTGAACCAGGAGGAGCGGCTCATCCACCACCTCTTTGAGGAGAACGGCTATGATAAGGAGGTGCGCCCCGCTGTCTCCAATGATGATGCTGTGGATGTCTTCCTGGCCCTCACCCTCTCCAACCTCATCTCACTGGTGAGCCCCAGAGGGCAATGCCTGTCATGGGCTGCCCCCCAGCCACACTCTACCCACTGGGCAGGCTGGAGGGAGCCCTGGGGCCACTGCCCCAAACTCTCATTGATCTGGTGAGGGTTTGGGGTCCTGGGCTGGTGGGAGGACACTGCTTGTCATGGCCCTGGCACCTCACTGCTCCATGCTGTCGTTGCAGAAAGAGGTGGATGAGACACTCACAAGCAATGTATGGCTTGAGCATGTGAGTAGGGACAGACATCATGGCATCAGTTGTGCCTCAAGGCTCAGGCAATGGGGTGGAACAGTGTGGCGAGGGGGTGACCTGGGGATCCACCCTTCCAGGCCTGGACCGATTACCGCCTGCAGTGGAACAAGTCTGAGTTTGGGGACACCCGGGCCCCCCCCCTGCCACCAGACATGGTGTGGCTCCCTGAGATAGTCCTGGAGAACAAGTGAGCTGTGCCTCAGTTTCCCCTCCTGATCGCCTCAGGCTGTGCCTGGTGTGTACCCAGGGGTCCCCCTGCCCCTCGCCAGCCCCACCATCACCTCAGCTCTCTCTTGGTGCAGCAATGATGGGCTCTTCGAGATTGCCTACTACTGCAACGTCCTCATCTACGAGACAGGCTTAGTCACCTGGCTGCCACCCGCCATCTTCCGCAGCACCTGCCTCATCAATGTCAATTTCTTCCCCTTCGACTGGCAGAACTGCACCCTCAAATTCAGGTGCCAGGGGCTTGGCTGGGGCAGGGCAGGGGTGAGCAGCTGGGTGGGCAGCTGGGTGGGCATCCGAGCCCCTTGAGGTGCCCACTGCTGCCAGCGCCTTCCTTTGCTGCCAGGGCATATCAAGGTGAGGGCTGGCAGGCGACTTGGTGGCCTGAGTCCACCAAACTGGTGGTCAGGGTGGGTGGTTACAAGCAGCAGGCACAGCCCCTCACTGTGTGTCCCCCCGGCTGTGGGCCAGCTCACTGACATACAGTGCCCTGGAGATCACCATGCACTTGAAGACAGATAGTGACCCAGACACAGGGAAGGAGTACCCGGTGGAGTGGATCATCATCGACCCTGAAGGCTTCACAGGTAATGCTTGTTGTGCTCTCTGCCATGTCCTGTGCCAGTGGGACACTCTGTAAGGGGCTCAGGGGCACCCTGCCATGCAGCCACCTGAGTATCTGGGGCTTTGGCACCCTGGCACCCGTCCCAACAAGCTTGAAGCTGCCCAGACCCAGGACAGGGAGACCAGGTGCTGGTAAGGATGGACATGGTAAAGGTCGCCCATGCCACACACTTTCATATGCCCCAACAGAGAATGGAGAATGGGAAATCATCCACCGCCCAGCCCGCAAGAACATCCACCCTAACAACCCGCCTGAGAGCAACGAGCACCAGGACATCACCTTCTACCTCATCATCAAGCGCAAGCCGCTCTTCTATGTCATCAACATCGTCACGCCCTGTATCCTCATCGCCTTCATGGCCATTCTCGTCTTCTACCTGCCCGCCGATAGTGAGTGAGCCCTGCAGCATTCACACCAGGTCACCCCGCGGGGCACCTCCATCTTCCACACCTGTACCAGGTCCTGGGACATGAGGACACCCCAATGCCCAGCAAGGGGACATCCTGGCACTGGGACACCCCCATGTAGCACACCATCACCCCTGGCAGGGAAACACTTAAGTGCAGGATACTCCAAGGGGGAACCTGGGATACCCCCATTATAGAAAACCCTATATGGGGCACTGTATGGTGGAACAGTGGGAGGGCAAGCCCAGCACTGGGGACATGGGTAGGGGGACCTGGGGCAGAGGTTGCCCTGAGCTCACCTGCTCTCCAGGTGGTGAGAAGATGACCCTGGTGATCTCGGTGCTCCTGGCCCAGTCTGTCTTCCTTCTGCTCATCTCCCAGCGCCTACCCGCCACCTCACACGCTGTCCCTCTCATTGGCAAGTGAGTCCTGGGCACCAGTGGGTGCAGTGGGGACATCATGGGGTCCCTAGGGTGCCAGAGGGCAGCTCTGCCTGTGCCCAGCCCCTGCAGCAGTATCAGCCCCAGGTCTTTGCTCCTCCCAGGTACCTGCTTTTCATCATGCTGCTGGTGACGGCCGTGGTGATTATCTGTGTCGTGGTCCTCAACTTCCATTTTCGCACCCCCAGCACCCACATCATGTCTGACTGGGTCAGAGAGGTAAGCAGGGTGCTGGGTTGGGGTGGGTGACCTGGTGGTTTCAGGGGTGGCACTGTGCCCTATGGAAGGCATAAGAGAGCACAGCCCTGGCATTGTACCGGGATGTCCCATCTGTGCAACTCCAAGGGTTTGCACACCCAAGCTGAGGGCAGAAGGTGGCAGGGACAAGGCATTATCGCACCAAGAGGATGGCCACAGGACCTGTCACCCCTTCCCATGCCCTAGGTCTTTCTGGGGAGCCTGCCTCGCCTGCTGGGCATGTCACAGCCAGCCGAGAGCCCGGCGGGTGCCCTGTGCATCCGGCGCTGCAGCTCAGCTGGCTACATCGCCAAGGCAGAGGAGTATTTCAGCGTCAAGTCCCGCAGCGAGCTCATGTTTGAGAAGCAGTCGGAGCGACATGGGCTGGCCAGCCGCACCACCCCGGCCCGTGAGCCTTGGACCCTCAGTGGGGACACAGGGAAGGGTGGAGTAGGGGTATCCAGGGTTGGCAACCCTTCAGAGCCTCTTACCACACCCTTTGCCCCCAGGTTTGGTGCCTGCAGACACAGGGGAGGAGCAGCTCTATGAGCACATAAAACCCATTGTTGATGATGCAAACTTCATTGTCAAGCACATGCGGGAGAAAAACAACTACAATGAGGTGGGACCCATGGGCATGGGGGGCAGGAGGGCTCCTTGTGCCTCCCCACTACCCTACTCCTGGCTCCCTCCCTAGGAGAAAGATAACTGGAACCATGTGGCCCGGACTCTGGACCGACTCTGCCTCTTTGTCATCACTCCCACACTGGTGGTGGGCACCCTCTGGATCTTCCTCATGGGCATCTACAACCACCCCCCACCACTGCCCTTTGCTGGAGACCCCTATGACTACCGGGAGGAGAACAAGCGCTTCATCTAGGGAGGCTGGGGGGTGTCCCATGTGCCAGCTCCTGCTCACCTGCCTTGGGAAAATAAAGCTTGGTGCTTCTTGCCACAGGACACGGAGCTGGTGGCTGCTCTCTTTGTGTCCCCTGCACACAGTGCCCAAACTATGCTGAGTGTGCTGCGGAGGGTGATGCCCAACCAGGGGATGAGTGCCATTGGGTGTGCTGAGCACACTGATCCTCAGCCATGGCTGCAAGAGGCATTTCCCAGAGGGGATGTGGTGGAACCAGCCCTGCTACCTGCTTTGGGCTGGGCACTCAGGCCAGGATGGGCTGGGGAAGGGGATGGACCTCCCAGCATGGCACCATCCCCTGCAGACTCACTGCAGTGACATTAGTGTCCAGGTCACCTCCATCCCCATGACCCCCCAGCCAGACCCATGTGTGTCCCCCCTCCCCACACACCCCATCCCACAGTCCCTGGCTAGGGACTGAGAGGGGTGTCACCTTCCCCAGCTCAGCAGTGGGACATCAAGGCTCTGGTTTCAGGCGGCACAGCTGACGTCCCCGCCACCGGCAGTGGCAGGGGACAGCTGTCACATCTTCCCCACTGAGCCAGGAATCTCACACCCTCCCTGCAATGCTCCCTGCACAGGGCCTGGCAGGATTTGGACCCCCTCCCCCCCGGCAGACATCACTCCCTAGGCTGATGTGATGGGATCTGCCTGTCCCTTCTTTACCTGACATCTCTGGGGCAGCTACTGCCATGAGGGGGACAGGGCACTGCTGGGGGAACTTGCACAGAAGGGGGTGGCACCCCTTCTCCATAACCCATGGGCACCTGGGTTTCCTCTGCGGGGAGATGCTTCCCTCTGCGAGGGACATAGGGAAACAGAGGCACGGAGTTAAATTTCCCCCCCTTTTCCCAGTTCCAACCCCCTGACACAAACGCCAGAGGAGCAAACAGGCTTCACGCTGCTGGCAGGGGGGCGTGGGTGGTCACCCGTCCCTCCCCAGCCCCTGTGGCTGCTGGGAACAGCTGACCGTGGCCAGGGACAGCTGTCCTGTCCCACAAAGCACCAGGCTCGGGACACCACGGTGCGGGCAGCCGAGAGGAGCCCCAGCCCCGCGCCTCC